ATCCGCTTTGTGTGCGGAAATGGGGGCGGGGCTCTGGGGGAAGGGGGAGGGGCTATGGGGAGGGGGAGGGGCCTCGGGGGGGTTTTTTTGGAGAGGAGCCCCAAAATCGGCCCGAAATTGCTCAAAATCTCCGGAAATTCCCCCAAATTCTGCCCAAATTCCCATCCCGGGACTCTCCAGACCCCGAATCCTCCCAAATTCTCAAAGTTTCCCCAAAATTCCTCCAAATCTTCCCCGAATTCCCATCCCGGGAGCCCCCAAATCCCAACTCTCCGCAATTTCCCCAAATACTTTTTTCCCAAAATTTTCCCGAATTCTTCTAAATTCTCCTTCTGGGGACCCCCCGAAATCTCAAATCTCCCCAAATTTATCCAAATTCTGCCCAAATCCACCCCAAATTCCCATCCGGGGACTCCCCAGACCCCAAATCCCCCCAAATTCTCAAAGTTTCCCCAAATTCCCTTTCCTGGGCCAAATTTCCCCAAATCCCCCCAAATTATCCCAAATTCTCCTCCCCGGATTCCCGGGATGCGCTCTGGGGTGGGGGAGGGGCGGTGGCCGCGTCTCCCCTCCCCCACCCCCCCCTGAGCTCACCTGGGGCCACGCCCGGGGTGGGGGTCGGGGTCACGGCGGCGTCGGCCGCGCCCAAAACCTGACCCCGATCCCGGCCAGGTGAGCTCACACCTGGCCAGGTGAGCCCAAAATCCTGACCCCACACCTGGCCAGGTGAGCCCAAAACCTGACCCCACACCTGGCCAGGTGAGCCCAAAATCCTGACCCCACACCTGGCCAGGTGAGCCCAAAACCTGACCCCACACCTGGCCAGGTGAGCCCAAAATCTGACCCCGACACCTGGGCAGGTGAGCCCAAAATCCTGAGCTCACACCTGGCCAGGTGAGCCCAAAATCTGACCCCAATCCCGGCCAGGTGAGCCCAAAATCCTGAGCTCACACCTGGGCAGGTGAGCCCAAAATCCTGACCCAAATTCTGGCCAGGTGAGCCCAAAATCTGACCCCAATCCCAGCCAGGTGAGCCCAAAATCTGACCCCACACCTGGCCAGGTGAGCCCAAAATCTGACCCAAATCCCAGCCAGGTGAGCCCAAAATCCTGACCCCACACCTGGGCAGGTGAGCCCAAAATCTGACCCCAATCCCAGCCAGGTGAGCCCAAAATCCTGACCCCACACCTGGGCAGGTGAGCCCAAAATCCTGACCCAAATCCCGGCCAGGTGAGCTCACACCTGTCCAGACGAGCCCTGACCCCACACCTGGCCACGTGAGCCCAAAATCTGACCCTGATCCCGGCCAGGTGAGCACTGACCCCTCTCAGCTGGGGGAGAACCAGGTGTGCTCCAGATGTGCCCAGGTGTGACCCAGGTGTGATCCAAGTATCTCAATCCTCTCCAGGTGTGATCCAGGTGTGTCCTCCCCCCCCAGGTGTCCCCCAGGTGTCCCCCAGGTGTCCCCATCCCCTGCAGGTGTATCCCAATTTCCCCCAGGTGTGTCCCCCACCCCCCCAGGTGTCCCCAGGTGTGTCCCAGGTGTGTCCCCTCCCCCCAGGTGTGTCCCAGGTGTGTCCCCCCACCCCAAGCGGGTCAATCCCAGTGACTCAGAGGATTTGGGGGGTGGGCGGGGCCTCACCTGGGCCACGCCCCCTCACCTGGGCTATTTAAGGTGTCCCCTCCTGGTCTCACCTGTCCCCTCCTGGTCTCACCTGGCCCCACCTGGCCCCGATGGCTCCACCCGGGCCCCACCGGCCCCCGGTGCTGCTGCTGCTGCTGCTGGGTGAGACTGGGAGAACTGGGAGGCACTGGGAGGCACTGGGAATGGACTGGGATATACTGGGATGGACTGGGATGGACTGGGAATGAACTGGGAATGGACTGGGATGGACTGGGATGGACTGGGATATACTGGGAGGGAACTGGGATGGACTGGGATGGACTGGGATATACTGGGATATACTGGAAATGGACTGGGAATGAACTGGGATGGACAGGGATGGACTGGGATGGACTGGAATATACTGGGAGGGAACTGGGATGGACTGGGATGGACTGGGATATACTGGGATATACTGGAAATGGACTGGGAATGAACTGGGATGGACTGGGATGGACTGGGATATACTGAGAATGGACCAGGGATGGACTGGGATATACTGGGAGGGACTGGGAATTGACTGGGAGGGAACTGGGAATGGGCATTTGGGGGACTGGGATGGGACTGGGATGGACTGGGACCAAACTGGGATGAACTGGGTTGGACTGGGAATGGCGACTGGGGATGAGGTCAGGGAGGAAAACTGGGACAGGAACTGGGAGGAACTGGGAGGGACGGAGATGGAGCGATAGGGAATTTGGGAGGGACTGGGATGGACTGAGATGGGACTGGGAGGAACTGGGATGGACGGGAGGGGACTGGGAATGGACTGGGATGGACTGGGATGGGACTGGGCTGAACTGGGATGAACTAGGATGGGGCTGGGATGGATTGGGTGGGGATTGGGGTGAACTGGGATGGACTGGGATGGACTGGGATGGACTGGGATGAACTAGGATGGGGCTGGGATGGATTGGGTGGGGATTGGGGTGAACTGGGATGGACTGGGATTGAGACTGGGATGGAACTGGGGGAACTGGAATGGACTGGGATGAACTGGGAATGACTGATACAGAATGTGTAATGGACTGGGATGGCAACTGGCCCAAACTGGTCCAAACTGGTCCGTACTGGTCCAAACTGGTCCATACTGGATCCCCCTGACCCTCCCCTCCCCCGCAGGCGCCTCCGGGCTCTGCGCCCGGCCCGGCTCCGGCTCTGACCTGGGATCGGGATCACCGGGATCACCGGGATCACCGGGATCGGGATCGCTGGCGCCGCTGACGGCCGGGGTGGATCCCTGCAAGGACCCGCTGGGACTGCTCAGCCCCCAGCTGGGATCCCCGGGATCCTCCCCGGGATCCTCCGCCCGCTGCCTGGGGGGGCGCCCGGGATCCGCCGCATCCGGATCCGCACCCTCGGGGAATTCGGGATCCTACGGATCGGGATCCTCTGGAAGTTCGGGATCCTACGGGGGAAATTCGGGATCATACGGATCGGGATCCTCTGGAAGTTCGGGATCCTACGGGGGTGGATCAGGATCCTCTGGAAGTTCGGGATCCTACGGGGGAAATTCGGGATC